CCCCCCCCCCACCCCTTGTATGTCATGGCCTTCTCTTCTTCTGGGAGTGTCTAATTACTGTTTGTGCTGGCCCAGCTCCAACGCACCTCCCCCACCTTCTACATAACCTGTTATTTAGCTCCTGGGGAGGAGTGAAGGGGAATACTATAAAGTGTCACTTGAGTGACAGCTCTGAGACTGCTAGGGCTGCTGATATCACATCCAAGATGGCGGCAACCATCAAAAGTCTCTGGGTTTTTGGATGTCTACACAAGGGAGGATTTGACAGGCAAATCGTAGGAGTTGGTCTATGGTGACCATGGGATTTAGTGGAGTTTTCCTTTATTGTCACAATTTTGTCTGTAATATATTCCTTTTTGCCGGCAGAGAACACGAATGGTTCAAGCAAGACCTGCCCAGCTACCTGTTCCCAGAGGATCCCAATTACGATGCCAACGCCATTGACGATGAGGCGGTGAAGGAGGTGTGTGAGAAGTTCGAATGCACGGAGTCGGAGGTGATGAACAGCCTGTACAGCGGTGACCCTCAGGACCAGCTCGCCGTGGCCTATCATCTGGTGATAGACAACCGAAGGATAATGAACCAGGCCAGCGAGTTCTACCTCGCTTCCAGTCCACCAAACGGCTCCTTCATGGATGATATGCATATCGCTCCTGGCCTCAAACCGCACCCTGAGCGAATGCCGCCCCTGGTGGCGGACAGCCCGAAGGCCCGATGCTCTCTGGACGCCCTGAACACTACCAAACCCAAGCCGTTAGCTGTGAAAAAAGCCAAGTGGCACCTGGGAATCCGCAGCCAAAGCAAACCACATGACATTATGGCGGAGGTCTACCGGGCGATGAAGCAGCTAGACTTTGAATGGAAGGTGAGAGTTGCTGTGGCAGTTCAGCATCAACTATAATATATGAGCAAACTGGGTGGTCTGGCAGTGGGATAAGCCAATAGAATTCTGGGGTGCATCACTAGAGGGGTCCCCAGCAGGATGAAGGAGGTCCTGATTCCTGTATATAGATCTTTATTATCACTAGAGGGATCCCCAGCAGGAGGAAGGAGGTCCTGATCCCTCTATATAGATCTTTAGTTATCACTAGAGGGATCTCCAGCAGGAGGAAGGAGGTCCTGATCCCTCTATATAGATCTTTAGTTATCACTAGAGGGATCTCCAGGGTCCTGATCCCTCTATATAGATCTTTATTATCACTAGAGGGATCCCCAGCAGGAGGAGGAAGGAGGTCCTGATTCCTCTATATAGATCTTTAGTTATCACTAGAGTGATCCCCAGCAGGAGGAAGGAGGTCCTGATTCCTCTATATAGATCTTTATTATCACTAGAGGGGTTACCAGCAGGAGAAAGCCTCAAGTGTGGCTCCTGACATCACCAAAGGGCCACACACAATATTCAGTGCTACAGGAAGCTGTCAGACACGCAGGAGATGCATAGACTATTGGCATGCTACAAGGGATGGTCATAAACTCCAGATATACTACAGGAGAAGGTCAGAGACTGCAGACATGTTATAGCAGTTGTTGGAGACTGGAGACAGGCTACTGAAGTCAGATATAGACTGGACATACATTATATGAGACTGCTAGTGATCAAAGTGTACAAAGTGATAGCCCACCCCCGTCATTTCCACTCACACAATGACAGTTTTTTTGTGGAAGTCAGGTAAGCTATCAGTAGATTTTTGGATTGTGAGTGGGAAGAGGATCAGCTTTCAGAATCCCACTTGAACTTGGGAAGCCCCCCCCCCCCCGGCAGTTGGCGGAGATGAGGAGGCTGTTGAGAAACAACAAGCTTAGACATGGCCCTGAACACCCGGACATGCGTCTGGCTGAACTTCAAAGCCTCTCCTGACGTCAGAAGTTGTTTTTCGATCTTCTCACGTGTCACGTTATTTCCCTTCCCAGGTGGCGAACCCTTATCACCTGCGAGTGCGGAGCAAGAACCCCGTGACCGGGAATTATGTAAAGATGAGCCTCCAGCTCTACCAGGTGGACAACCGCAGTTATCTTCTGGACTTCAAAAGCATCGATGGTACGTGAGGGAGGGCCCGCCGCTCTATGAGGTCTAACAAAGGCCTGAAACGCACAGGATAAGTCACTCGTTCTCCTGACTCGGTTGTGGTACAAAATCAGGAAGTAGCCGGGAAGAAAGGCTTTCATCCATAGATATTATCCTGCCATAAAGTGAACCTGTCCCTGAATATTTCACTAATGTCTAACCTAGAGCAGCTATTAAAAGCAGATACCACAAGGGGCCTACGTGTACCCATAAGGCTCGGTCTCCATGGATATCCCCAAAAAACATTTGTTTATGAACTTTATTCTTTCCAAAGAAAATTACATTAAAAGGTTTTCTTTTTTTGGTGCATAGTATTGTTGGAGAGAAGGAGTAAGAATAAGATTAGAGGTGTGAACCCAAATATTGGCCTTAATGGCCTTTTCATTTTAGTTTTTTATTGGTATATTATAAAATGTAATAAATAAAAAAGTGACCAAAAATCATTTTACTTTCCCTTTAGCATGTTAGATTTAGTTTTTATTAAGACATACTATTATTATTTTTATTATGATGATTATTAATAATCATAATAACCATAATAAAATAATATAATAATAATAAAATAATATATTAAATAATAATCATAAAACAATAATAAAAAATAATATAATAATAATAACAATTATTATTATGATCATACAGGATTTATATAGCTCTAACAGTTAGTGCAGTACCTTACAGTGGTGGCCCTAACCTGTTTGTTTCCAGAGGCGGGGGGAAGGGCTGGTGCTTGGTGGAATGCTGTTTTTTGCATGCTGTTGGGGGGGGCGGAGCTTGCTGGTGATGCATGCTAGACATGTGCACTGGCAAAAAATTTATTTTGTTTCATTTTGATTCGGATTTTTTGTTATTTAGTTTTTTCGGGATTCGGGTGTGAAAGTCAATTCGGATTCGGAATTGGGATTCGGACGAAATTCGTTAGTGGTAGTTCGTTCGAACGTTCGTTTCTTTTTCGTTTCGTTCGTTCGTTGCAGCAACATGACATTTGAGGCGAAACAAATGTTTTCCTCCTTCTCTAATGTCACTTTGCTGCAACGAACAAACGAATAAGAAACGAACGTTCGAACGAACTACCGCTAATGAATTTCGGAAACGTAAATTCGGATTCATTTGCATTCGTTATATCGGTCATTCGGAATTCGGATATGTCCGCATTTCCGAAAATTCGTCCTAATTTTGTTTTGGAACGAATCGCACATTGTGCATGCTATTAGGGGCAGGGCTTGCTGGTGGTGCACACCAACTGATAGGGAGGGGGTGGGATGGGCCTTGCCTCTGCATCATCTCCCCACTCTGCCCAGCAGACATCCTACTCGGCTCCTGGCAACCCGTTACGTCACTGGCTGCCAGGAGCTGAGCAGGACGACAGCGACAGTGTCCCAGGTTGCTGGGTGGAGAGATGTCTATGACCCTTACACATTTCCCCCAGCTCTTAGAAACTTGGGACACTCTGGCTGGCATAGGGGGTGGCTGCACACTGCAAACATTGCTCTGCCTGCCGCCCCCCACGCTAGACCCAAAGAGATGCAACCTGTCTCATTATAGGAACGGCCTTGGGGAGGTGGTGCAGTTACATTACAATTCAAGACAAGTGGGTTAGGAGGCCCCAATCCCAACTCCCCCCTTCCCATAGGGACTGGGGCTTCAAAACTTACCAGTTCAATAAGCCAGAGCAGACATAATTCTTCAATGAGCTCGCTGGCTCTGGTGAGGCTGGCTGCTCCTTGGACAAAGACATAAAATAAGGGAGAAGTCATCGCTATAGTTACGATTCAGCTCAGTGTGGGTATTTCATCTTGAGCTATTGATCTCTGTAACAGGCGGTAAGAAAAAAAAACTACTGGAAAACATGAAAATCAAACTAGGGATGCACCGATAACGGTATTTCGGTACCGAGTACGAGTGCCGATAATTTTTTTTCCGGTACGCGCCGATACCAAGTACCGAGTAACGGAAGTCCCATTCATGAAGCCAGGTGGCGTGTAATGACTCGCCACCTGGCTTCATGCTCCCTCGAGCATGGAGCCGGCCAATCAGAAAGCAGAGCGTTGCGTCATTACACGGCGCCCGGCTTCCTGATCGGCCGGCCAGACGGCTCCGGCCGGGTACCGGATGAAGGCCGCGTTCTCGTTGGAGAGGCCCCGGGGGTGACCGGCTGGACATACTAAGGTAAGGTAACCTTACCTCACGAGGACGAGGGAGCATGGAGCCGCTTCCCGGCCAATCGGGAAACCGAGCAGCGTGTAATGACGCGCTGCCCGGCTTCCTAATACCGGAAGCACTCGGGCTAGGCATCGGAGCATTTGGGCGAGTACGAGTCCTCGCCCAAATACTCAGAATCGGCATCGATAGTAGTATCGGTATCGGTGCATCCCTAAATAAAACGAATGTTCCACCTTCTGGCTGACAAATGAAAGTAACAAATAATAATATCCAATATTTAATAATTTAATGACTAAAAAATTGTCTCTATACTCCGCTCATTCCCTACAGTGGTTTCAGTTGGACCGCCATATTGTTTTTTTTCTCATCCGCAGATGAATTGATGGATCACAAGTCGGGTTCCTCCTCTCTCCACCGCTCCTGCTCGGGGGCCGGTCTGCACCGCCCCAGGCAGAGCATCGACTCCACCATAACCGACTCGCAAAGCGGATCTGTCTACGGCTCCCTCACCATGGCCAGCCCGCGGATCGGCAGCCACACCATGGATTTCTTTGAAATGTGCGCCAGCCTCATTACGACGTTGGCTCGCTAACGAGCAGCGTGATAACTGGCCGGACGATGTACGCGGGTCTCTTTCACCTTCGGGGGCCGTACTGGGGGAAAGTACTCTGGACCTTCATAGCTGGGGGTCTCGTAATGCAATGACTTATGGGAAGGGAAGTCAAAATATCTGGAAGGAGAATGAGTGGAGGAAACATAATGGAGTGTAATATAGTGAAATATAATACAGGAGAGTGAAGTGCAATAGAGTAGAATGCAAAAGGGTGGAGTGCAATAGATGGGAGTGCATTAGAGTGAAGTGCAATAGGTTAGACTGGAATGGATTTAACTTAAATCGAGTATAGTAGAGTAGAATGGAATAGAGTGATTTGCAATGGAGAGCAATAGAGTAGACTGGAATAGGGCAGAGTGCAATAGATGGGAGTGCATTAGAGTGAAGTGCAATAGGTTAAAATAGAGTGAAATTAAGTGCAATAGATTAGAATGGAATAGAGTAATTTGAAGTGGAGTGCAATAGAGTAGACTGGAGTGCACCGGAATATAATGAAGTGCAATAGTGAATAGAGTAATGCGGGGTAGGGGGAGGTGGGTAGAGTAAATTGGAAATGCGTGGGGTAGAATAGGGTGGAGTGCAATAGAGTGGATTGCAATAGAAAAGAATAGAGTGGAGTAGAATGAAGTAGAGTAAATTAAAGTGGCATGCAATAGAGTAGAATGGAGTGGAATAGAGTGGAGTGCAATAGGGTTATATAGCGGAGTAGAACGGGATGAAGTGCACTAGAGTAGAGCAGAATGGAATAGGGTGGAGTGCAATAGAGTAGAATTGGATGAAATGCAAAAGAGTAGAATAGAGTGGAGTGCAATGGCGTAGAGTGTAATATAGTGGAGTGCAATCCAACAGAGTGGGGTAGAGTGGAGTGGAATAGATTAGAATGGAATGGACAAGAGTGAAATCGAGTGCAGTAGAGTAGAATGGAGTAGAGTAATTTGAAGTGGAGTGCAAGAGTAGACTGGAGTGGACTGAAATAGAATGAAGTGCAATAGTGAATAGAGTAATGTGGGGGAGGGGAAGGGGGTAGAGTAAATTAGAAATGAGTGGAGTAGAATAGAATACGGTGGAGTGCAATAAAGTTGATAAGAATAGAAAAGAATAGAGTGGAGTAGAGTAAATTAAAGTGACAAGCTACAGAGTAGAATGGAGTGGAATAGAGTGCAATAGTGAAGAAAGTAATATGGAAAGGAATGGAGGGGTAGAGTACATTGGAATAGAGTGGAGTGCAATAGAGCAGAATGGAATAGGGTGGAGTGCAATAGAGTAGAATGGGATGAAGTGCATTCGAGTAGATTAGAGTGGAGCAGAATGGAATAGGGTGGAGTGCAATAGAGTAGAATGGGATGAAGTGCATTAGAGTGGAGCAGAATGGAATAGGGTGGAGTGCAATAGAGTAGAATGGGATGAAGTGCGTTAGTGTAGATTAGAGTGGAGTGCAGTGGAGCAGAATGGAATAGAGTGGAGTGCAATAGAGTAGAATGGGATGAAGGGCATTAGAGTGGAGTGCAGTGGAGCAGAATGGAATAGAGTGGAGTGCAATAGAGTAGAATGGGATGAAGTGCGTTAGTGTAGATTAGAGTGGAGTGCAGTGGAGCAGAATGGAATAGGGTGAAGTGCAATAGAGTAGAATGGGATGAAGTGCGTTAGAGTAGATTAGAGTGGAGTGCAGTGAAGCAGAATGGTATAGGGTGAAGTGCAATAGAGTAGAATGGGATGAAGGGCATTAGAGTAGATTAGAGTGGAGTGCAGTGGAGCAGAATGGAATAGGGTGAAGTGCAATAGAGTAGAATGGATGAAGTGCGTTAGAGTAGATTAGAGTGGAGTGCAGTGGAGCAGAATGGAATAGGGTTAAGTGCAATAGAGTAGAATGGGGTGAAGTGCAATAGAGTAGAATGGGGTGAAGTGCAATAGAGTAGAATGGGGTGAAGTGCAATAGAGTAGAATTGGATGACGGGCAAAACAGTAGAATAGAGTGGAGTGTAATATATAGGGGAGTGCAACCCAACAGGGTGGAATAGAGTAGAATAGCATGAAGTGCAATAGTTAAGAAGGTACTATGGGGAGGGGGGGTGTAATGTGATTCGGAATATAGTGGAGTGCAATATTAAATAAAGATAGATAATAATTCATTTGGAATCATGTAGAATGGAATAAATATAAATATTAATAAGGATATAAATAAAATAATATCATGTAGAATTTACTAATATACGGTGATATGTAAAATGGCTACTAAAGTGATCCTCACGAATGCCCGACCGTGAAAGAGACCCGGCAGTGCAGCGCGGCGGCCGAGCGTTGCCATGGATCTCAGGCGATGTGTGCAGTGCTCTTCCGCGGCACTAGAACACCACAAACCCAGGACAGCTGCTGCTCCATTTAGCTGCGTCTTGTAGTCCGCTGTGCGTTGCCTCTCCTCCTCTCCGCCTGCTGCTGTCTTCTTAGGATCCGGTTGTAGGAGATTCCGCGCTGCGGTTACACTAATTTATTCTGATTATTCTTAGAACTGGAATTTAGCGAATGTATTATTTATTTTTTGCGGAGTATATTTGAGAGTTGTGATACGGGACGGAAACCTTTTTATTTTTATAAGCGCAATCACAATCCATACAACAGATTCCGCCGCCCTAAAACTAGCTACGGGACGCCATCGGCTCCTTGATTCATATTCACGTTGCCCGGGCAACCGGGGGAAAGGGGGAGGGGCGGGATCTGGGCACATATCACATCCATGTGGGGGAATCGGAACTACATGTCCCGTGATACCATGGAGTAGCGGGTGGGCAGGGCTGAGGGCTGTTCCTGCCAATTCATGGATGTGGGCCGGTCGCCACGGGGGACCGCTTCCTTCTGTCCACACAGAGGAGGTTATGCATACCAGAGCTATTGCTCCATAGGGGGGGGGGGGGGGGGGATCAATGCTCACCACAAGGGGCATGTATAGGAGACAATGGAGAATGGAGGAAAGCACTTTACATACACATGGGCAACATTTAGGCCCCGTTCACATTGAGCGAATTATCGTGCGGTAATTCCCGCGATATCGCGGCTATTTACCGCGCGATATCGCTCTTCAATGCATCTCAATGGGGCAAAGGGTCCTGCTGTCGCGGGTCGTGTGTCGCTACAGCAGGACCCTTTTTGGAGCGGATTTTGCCGCGATTCTCTTTTGCTCAATGCAAGCATTTGCGCGATATCGCGCAAAATGCAAATCCCGCGACAAACGCGCGATTTGCGAATCACGCAATGTGAACGGGGCCTTATGTACCAGTTGAGGTTATGATCCTCCTGACTGGAGTTCAGCTTTAATGGCCATTTAGTCCCCTGGTCACATGATGATCCCGTTTCTTCTCCTCTCTTCCTGTAGGACATGGGCACTCCCTATTGGGTGGCCAGGGCCTCTCAGGGTCTACCGGTCTGCAATGATGGGGTCAATTTATAGGGAAGTAATACAATTGCTGGATTAGCAAGCCTCATGGGACTTGTAGTTCCACAACAGCTGGAGTGCCAAGATGGCCCACCCCCGGCCTAATCCCTAGAACAAAAAACGTAATGTCCAGTCATCCCCAGCACACCAGCTACAGTTTCAAACGGGGCTGACGGTGGGAGGGGGGCTGAAATAGAGGTATAGAGTGGTAGTGAGGGACTCCTTCAGTGTTTGTCCAGCAACAGTTGACTTAAAGAGGACCTGTCAGAACACAAAATATGATAATGAAAGAATGCCATGTGACCAGCCTGTCATCCACCTCCAGCACCTTGAGTTTTCTTTCCCAATAGACCCATCACATGTCTGGGCAAATCAGAGCATATAATTAAATACATACGGGATACATAAAGGTTCAAGTCACTCAGTATTTCCAGAGTCATAGGCAGTTTTCTTATAGATGTTGGGTATAGTCCCGCCCCCTCTCCAACCTCTAAGCCTTCTTATTGGTCTTTTCTTGCAACGGGTGGTGTTTTTTGATGAAGAGGGAGGCAGAAGGATTGTTACCAACCTTGACTTTTACAGGAAAAGTCAGCAATTGCATATAGGTCCAGCTGCCTGTATCTCCGGATCTGCCGATGGGTTTGGCATGCGTTTTTTTTTTATAGTCGAAGGTTTCCTCCCGGTATACATTGGTTCAGGTTTGGTCTCTTTCACATTGCCCAGGCTGGACTCTTCAAAAGCTCGAACACTGGATTGCCTTATTTCCTGTTTGTACATTCAGTTTGATGTTGGAAACAAAACACTTTATTGGTCCCTTTGCTTCGTAACATTGTTGACTTGACAAATATAGCTCATGCTCCCTGCTGATTGGAGAGCTCTGACTTAGCAGGGGGCATGTCAGACCTCTGCAGAGTGACCACTGTTTCCACACTGATATAAAGACTCTGTAGCATGCCGGCAGGGGGATTTTCCACTCAGGCTGTAGAAAGGAAACAATCTAAGTCTCTGCGCACCTTTCTTATCCCCCTTATAATGTATTAAGTGATTTAAGCTGAACATTCAAATGGTTTTTAGGATTCATTTAACAATTTTTAATGAAATTAGAATGTGACTGCTGAAGGTTGTTGTGTGGAATGCTGCTTGAATCCCAAATCACCCCCCCCCCCGCCCCCCCGTAGTAGGTGACTCCGCTCTGAATTGTAACAAAACACCGGAAGGTGTCAGCGTATGCGAAGCTACGCCGCGCCCCTGCACAAGCTGCCTTAATATCGTTCCGTACACTTGCGTGACATCTATGCGTTTCCTCCTGGACTGAATCGGTCATGAAACGGTGAACCGGCAAGGGCCCGTTCACACTAATGCCCACGCCTAATGCCTTGTGTCAATGTGCACTGCAATACGACAGAATGAATGGGCTGGCGATGTACCAGAAATGGTGACTGCACCATTTCTGGCAGTGCGCTACAATGCACATTAAAAATTAATGGCGCCATATTGCACCAATGCATGTTACCGCAAGGTGATTGTGAGAATGGGCCCCAAAGGGCCACTCTACCTATTAGTAGTATTTCGCTTATGGTGGATATTGAGGGCTGAATC